ACGAGGGGCGTATTTCACAGAACAGGAAGAAGTCCATGGGCATTCCTGCCTGGCATGTGACCCTCTGTTTATGCGCGGCCAGAGAGTTCCATACATCACAGAGCAGTTATACGCTGCTTAAGTGGCCTCCGGGGCAGGAGAGACAGGAAGAAAAATTCAGGCTCGAACCTTATTCCCTGTGTCTCCACCGCCTGGCTCTGTGGAAAGGCCACTGGGCATCTCAAAGAGAGGAGTCCCGCCCCTTGCCAAGCTTCCCTCGAGCTAAGTGCCATTGGGTGAGACCCCTGTGCTTCTCACAGCCTCAGTTTCCCCATCTGGGAATAAATAGGACGTTTTCAAGATGGAGATGGAGAATTTGGGAGGCGCTGAGTGATGTCTAGGGCTCATTTGAGGGAGAAATTGGTTCAAGGGTCTGCTGAATCTCCCGACTCCAGTGTCATACTGCGTGGGGGGGAGGGGCGGGGGTGGTGTCTTCCCATTCAGGGGTGTGCAGACTGTTTGCACACACACACCCTAAAAATGCATGCACACGTATGCGCGTGTGAAGGTGCTTACACAGCTTCGCAGGCAGGCTGCTGTACATCACCAGACAGACGTCCAACGGGAAGCTCCTACAGGAAGAGATAAGGCTATATATAGAAGCCCTGTTAAAATCCCAGCACCCACTCCCACCCCCGCAACACCCAGCCTCCCTCCCCTCCCCTGCCTGCCTCTCTCCCATAACACTTAGCACCTTCTAGAATATTCTATGGCATGTTATTTATAACTTCTGTGTTCCACGAGGCTGTGAAATCAGGCTGGAAGGAAGGGAAGACTTGGTGCTATATTTCAAGAACTGGGGGGGGGGTCCTCCTCTTGACCCACACACTCTCCCCAAAGGAAGTCCCAAAATAAATGGGTTCTAGCCAAGCTGGAAAAGCCATAGGGAGGTGTTAGAATGTTCAGGGAGCTGGCGGAAGGAAGAAGTGGGTTCTGGGCAAAGCTGTGGGCAGCTGCAGCACCCCAACGGACAGCCCCTTCAGCGTGAGTGTGTGCACATTTAATGAGACAGAAGAGAGAGGAGTGGGGGGGGGGGAGGCAGGCAGCAGCCAGGCTGGCTAGAGCGAGCGGCTAAGGCTGGGGCTGACAGTCCTGTGGCCACCCAAGCAAGAGAAGCCATTTCAGAGACATTTCAGGGAACTGAGGCAGGTGTGAGACAAATTCTAACTCAGGCCTGTCCAAGTCCACATCGGCCCCTGCTGTGACGTGATGTCCAGTTAGCAGCCACCTCTGGCAATACCGGGTGGCCACCAGTTTGCGAGATCGCTTTTGCTTGTGTTCCAACTCCCTAATGCCTGGGTTTGCAGAGGTCCTGGTTCTGCGTCACCTGCGTCTGGATGGGGAGGAGCCCTGATTTAGGACCCATCTGGACAGATAGTTTATGGGAGCCAGGCTGCTAGGATGCTTGGGTGAGAGATAATCGCCACCCCTCCCCCTCCCCCCACTACCCACCAGCCCCTGTGGCATTCTTGGCTGGTGAGGCCCAGGGGAGGCAGCCTGTGAGGAATGCCTTGCGGTTCCCTCCCTCTCACCCAAGGCCCTGCAGTAACGGCCTCCTGAGGACCCCCAAATCAGCAGTAACTCCTTGCTCCAGGTTAGCTTATCCTGCCTCACTAGGCAGAGAGGCCTAGAACGTGGACCGCTCATCAAAGACAGCCCCAGCCACGTGGAACCTCCTCTCCCCCCGGGAATATGGCATGGCTAACCAGCCAGAGAGACCTTGTCCCTTCCTGCTTACGAACATGAGGAAAAAACCACCTCAACCTGCCCACTGAGCTCCAGACCTTTGGCTGACCTCAGCCCTCTCCTGCCTACAACCTTCCATGGATCACCATTGCCTTCCAGATAACTGCAGTTCTTGTTTCTAGCAAGCCTCCCTTCCACTCATGTTCCAACTGTGACTGGTTCAGGAGTTGCCCTGCCAAATGCCACTATTGTTTCTAATTTATAGATAAGGAAAAGTAAAGACAAGAGAACACAAATAACCTTCCCAGGGTCATGCAGCTGGTGAAAGTCAGACCTGGGAAGAAGAGTCCTAGAGTCCCCATTACTGTCACCAACCACAAAGACCAAAGTTGAGACTTGAGGCTGGGACTGGACCGCAGGGGACAAAGCCGGGCCTCAGGCATGGCAGTGACGGCAATCATAGATGAAGTGAAGTCCTGCCAGGCTGTGGGTGCCCTGGAGGGTTCGTCTGCCCTGTGAGTGCTCAGCTCTTAGCCTGGCTTTGCCCACACTGGGGGAAGCTGGAGTCCTCTCTAGGTGTGCCAAGACATGACAGATAGGAACATGGGCTCTGCTCAAACTCCGTGTCTCCCAGACCTTACGCTGTGTGACCTTAGTACATAAAACTCTTACCCTTCCTGGGTGTCAGAGTCTTCAATTGTAAGTAGGGAGAGTAACAGTATCTGGAGTATCTGGAGAAACAGTATCTAGAGTTCTGGAGTATCTGGAGTAACAGTATCTGGAGTTCTGGAGTATCTGGAGTAACAGTATCTGGATAATTTCCTCATGCTCCCAGGAATGGCTCTGAGAGCCTGCTGGAAAGTCTGTCAGGGCTGTGCTCCTTCAACAGCAGTGACATCATCTGCTCCAGTGACTGCCTAGGGACATGGTACAAGCCCCTCCAAGAAGGACAGATATAGGAGTTTGAATCCATCTCCATCCCAACTCATTGTGTGACCTTGCCCACGTAGCTTGCATCTCTGGGTCTTGGTTGTCCCATGAATATGCCCTCACTGACTGAATGCCCTCACAGACTTCATAGTCACAAAGGCTATGAGAGGATGATCTTCATGGAGATGGCACCTCTTTGGCCCTAGGAAGGGTGGGAAGTCTGGGAAGCTGAGGTAGGTAAGGCTGTACTGTTGACCAAGTCTTGAGTGAGGCCTTTGAACCTTGACTGTCATGAGCCACAGCCTGGGTGGCCCAGAGTGACCACTGTCTCCTGCCCTGCCCCTCACTCTGCCTCAATGGGCACAGAGAAGTCACCAGTTCCTCTGAGGCAGGAAGGCAGTGCCACCAAGCCTGTCCCACCCCAGCAGTGGTGACAGGCTGCAGAGGAGGCCTGGGACACTACACCCACGTGGGAGGCTGCTGCCCCCCAGCCTCATTTGACTACTCCACCCTCCAGCCCTGCACCTCCCTGTGATGTCCCCTTGAAGCGTCCTCGGCCTAAGCAGGTGTCTGCTGTAGCTAGAGTTTTCCTGCCTTGCCCACAGTCAGGACAAATCTTTGTCACCCGCCAGTCCCACAGCCGCTCAGACCCAACCAAGTAAACACAGAGAC